CAACCGTTGAGGCTGGCACGTTTTCAGCCTGCGCCTGGTGAGGGGTCTGCATTATTGTGCCCGGTAAGGGCACTGGAGGCATATGTTGCAGCTACTGCTGTGATAAGGCATTCAGACCAGCTGTTTGTGTGTTATGGAGGCCCTAGGTTAGGCTGTCCTCTTTCCAAACAGCGCCTCTCCCACTGGATTGTGGACGTCATCTGCCACGCCTATGCTGCAGGGCCCGGCTCCCTGCCGGTCGGCTTGAAGGCTCACTCTACCAGGAGCGTCTCCGCTTCCTGGGCTGCCCTGAGAGGGGTTCCGCTGGAAGCAATATGTGCTGCTGCATCATGGGCTTCCCCAAGCACGTTCACCAGATTTTATAGAGTTAACGTGGCCACCCCTCATCCCCTGGGCCAGGTTCTTCTACAAGGGTCCTCTGGGCCTCCTCAGTGAGGTAGGTGTTAGGATTCCTTGTGACATCGTTGATATTAGTCATTCAGTGCTTTCAGCACCGCCCTCTGGCGGTCAGGAGGGATGAAATAGAACGAAAGTTACGTATGTAACTACGGTTCTATGAATCCCGGATGACCGCCAGAGCTTCTCCGTCACTCAGAATCCTTGCGTTTCGCGAGAAGATTCTGTAGGAGCAGAGCAGCGGATGACGTCGGGCTATATAGCCTCTGATTGGTCATCCGTGTCACACCTGTGACTCCGTTGGTATTATTACTCGAATCAGCGCATGCGCGAAGGGAACATTCAGTGCTTTCAGCACCGCCCTCTGGCGGTCATCCGGGATTCATAGAACCGTAGTTACATACGTAACTTTCGTTTTATCTACTGCTCTGCTTTGTTTAGCTTTACCAACACACTCACTTTCAGCTTCTTCAGCAAATTTCAGCAGTCAACAATGTCTCAGACATGGTTTTTGCAGAAACTGTGTTCCGCTGGTATATATTTGTCGTTTTGTTAGAAGCTGTCTTGTGTGATTCAATGCAGATCAGACCATTCAGAAAAAACAAGGGTTTCCAGACACATTTATAGGAACATTAAAGAATCTCTTTGTGGAGTTACTTTCTGCTCCCTCATTGTGTTCAGTCTCCATCTTTGTTCCTCCTGTGTGTAATGACAGGTTCCTGTTCTTTGCATTAAAGCTTAATTAGGGATAATTACTGAGTGTGGACCCTCAACTTGGGTTTATTAGGACTTCTAGTGAGTATGTGGCGGCTTTGATAAAACTCTCCAGAACAGGAAGTCATCCAACACCGTTTTAATTCTGCTTCAGTCAGAGTGTGTGCTTCACTGACTCAAGATGCAGCTTCTGTAAAAACAAAAGGCCTATCAAAACTTTTTCCACTTGTTTTTTTTTTTTTGCGATACGAGAATCTGATTTAAATCAACTGTCATCAGACACCAGCATGAGATGTGGGACTGCATGTAGTTTATAAATGCTTCTTCGTAAAAGAACCTGAAAGTAATTCTTGTTTTCAGGCGTGTGAATCCTGCCGACACAACAAGAAAACAAACTTGGACTATTTATTCCACACATTGATAAAAAAAAAATGCACAGTTTTGTGTGCCAAAGTTTTAAACAAAGATGTCACACAGTCTGTATAAACTCTGGTTTAAACTGATGGCAACAACTTTGTGCAAATGTTGTGGAAATAAAAAAGGTCCACTGAGATTATAAATAAGATCTTGCAAGTTTATGTTTAACGATGTTAGACCAGCTCACGCTCTTCATCTTCAAAATCTTTATTTCTATTTAATCTTTGAGAGATTTATCCTCTGAAAGTTCCCTTTAAACCCGCGAATGACTCAGACATCACTTTGCACCTGAGTCTCATTAGAAATGTACACATTTATGGTATAAAAATGCAAATTAGCCCCTGCCCTTTCTCCATGCTTCGCCTGGTTCCAGCTGCTCCCCCTCCACTGAGCTCAAAAGCCATTCTTATATTTTACCACCTCATCAAAGAGCGAACACTGCTGCTAATGTTAGATAAATCAGTTCTGACAGGTCCCTCACTGCACGTTTACACCATCCTCAAGCTATTTGCTATAAGCTAAACCCCTCCATCTATTATCTTTACACCATTATTCCTTTCCAGGTCACGGGGGTCACTGGTGCCCATATCCAGCAGTCACTGTGTGAGAGGCGGGGGACACCCTGGACAGGTCTCCAGTCCATCACAGGGACACATAGAGAGAAACGAGACAAACAACCGTTCACTCTCTCACTCACACCTAGGGACAATTCAGAGTTACCAATCAGCCTAACATGCATGTTTTTGGTCTGTGGGAGGAAACTGGAGTACCTGGAGAAAACCCATGCATGCACAGAGAGAACATGCAAACTTCACCCAGAAAAGCCCTTGGCTTGGATTTGATCCTGCAACCTTCTAGCTGAGAGGCAACAGCTCTACCAACTGAACCACCGTGCCACCAGATTTGAAACCACCATCTTCTTCCTTTTCTTTCAGCTTTTCCCTCTTTAGGGGTCGCCAAAGCAAGTCATCTTCCTCTGTTCTCCCTCCAGCTACCTCAACGAACATGTCATTCTCTGAGGATTGACTAAAACAGTTATTACTCCATTCCTTGTCATCATAAATTATCTTTGTTTAAAAATCTGGCATAAAAGGCAGGAAGCCACTTGTATTCCATCAAAGGATACTGGTCTTTATTGTCAAAAAGGTTTACATCTTAATAAGTTCAGAAAGTGTATATGGACTGGAAAAGGCTCTACGTTTTCTCATTTGAAAAAAATATACAAGTGTTATTTTTGCTCCAATTAGTTGCCCATTTAAATTTGTGTGGTTTTAACAGAAGTGATGGTGTATATTTTGTGCATGTTCATGATAAATAGTGTTAATGCCATCTACTAAAACCATAACTTGACAGGTGTTACAAAACTTCCAGTAAGTGCAGAAAACCAGTCTTACCAGGAAACAAGTCTGGATTGAATTTACTGTCATAAGACACCCAAATGACTAATACCAGGAGGCGTTTGATACCTTGAAGAAATTTCATTTTACTTGTATCATTCTTCAGTTTGTTGAGAAATACCCAATAGTTTTAAGTATTTACATAAATACAGTTACAGTTAACACTTAACACAGGTTGTTCGTAGGTTATGATCGTTGATTAAATCCATTAAAAGACCATTTTTCATCAACTTTATGATTGTACACGAGTCACAATATAAAATGTTGAGGTTATAATTAGAAGCGTGCTGGCCACCACTCAACAGTTAACTGGATAAACATTGTCAACTTTTTTAGTTTTAATTTGTTAATTTACATGTCACACTACAAAACTGTAGCAATTAGAGAATATATATATATGAATTAAATAAATAACTTACCCATCCCCCACCACCTCACACTTAATGGGTTGCATTGAACAAACAGCTCTTAAACAGGCGAACTGAAACCAAGTGTCGTACTTTTATTAGCCGTACAGTAAAACTGAGTGAACAAGCCTGCAGGGATGAAGAGTAGCTGAAACAGCTAAAACATTTTGACTTCCTCTTCCTTAACAACAGCAACACCCCGCGGAAAAATGTTGCTGCTGGTGAGGAAGAGCAACTTTTTTCATGCTGATTTTTACATTTGTGCTCTAAATTAGCCAGAATAAAAAGACATACAAGAACTTTTTAAGATTTTTTTTCTCTAGGAAACAGAGCATTTAGATTTGTGAAAAAGAAAAGTTATACAAATAAGAATATTAAGAATAAGAAACTCCTCCTTCAGGGCCAACCCTACTCCATTTCTCTTTCTATACACACCATGGTAAAACAGTTTGAACCCTGCTCCTAAGCTGCGAGCCTTGCTGCCCTTCCACTTAGTCTCTTGGACACATAAGACAGCTACCTTCCTTCTCTGCATCATGTCAGCCAGCTCTCTACTTGTACCTGTCATTGTCCCCACATTTAGAATTGCAACCCTCAGTCCTAAATTCTTGACTTTCCTCTTCTCCCTCTGTCTCCTGACTCATTTCCCTCCTTATAGTCTTCGCCAGATTTGAAATCATCCATCCATCCATTATCTTTTACCCATTTCTTCCATTTAGGGTCACAGGGTTCGCCAGTGCCTATGTCAAGCAATCACTGTGCAAGGGACGGGGGAACAACCTGGACAGGTCTCCAGTCCATCACAGGGACACATAGAGACAAACAAGACAAAACTATTCACTCTCTCACTCACACCTAGGGACAATTTAGTTACCAATCAGTCTAACATGCATGTTTTTGGTCTGTGGGAGGAAACCGGAGTACCCGGAAAAAAAAACACGCATGCACGGAGAGAACATGCAAACTCCACCTAGAAAGGCCCCCGGACTGGGATTTGAACTGGCAACCTTCTCGCTGAGAGGCAGCAGAACTAACATCTGAAACAGTGTCGCCCCGCTTTTGGCTACCATTCTACAATTTTTAGCATTTAGCTAGCTTTTTGTTACTTTTGGCTTTGAACTACAGTTATGTCACTTTTAGCTAGCCTTCTGATATTTTAATTTCTACCTACAGTCTTGCTACTTGTAGCTTATAGCTAGTCTTTTGTTACTTTTAGCTTTTAGCTATGATTCTGACACCTTAAGCTGCTGTTCTACTACTTTTAGGAGATAGTCTTTTGTTATTTTTAGCTTTTAGCTAATGTACTGCTAAATTTAACTAGTCTTTCAAAATTTTTAGCTTTTAGCTAGCATTTTGTCACTTTTGATTTTAAGCTAGTGTTCTGCATCTTTCAGCTATTTCAGTTTCATCTTTAGCGGTTTTCAACAGAGTCATTCAGTTCTGTTTGTGTGGTTTGTCATTATTTTCAGACGTTTGAACATTTTTATTGTTGATCTGTTTCCTGCAGCTCTGATGCAACAGGAGGACTTAGCTCAACAAGACACCCACAGTAACCCTAAAAAATATTTTGGATTTATTTTTCACTCTTAATTTAATAAATCTAGTCCATCATTTTCTTCTTTAATCCCAGTAGGAGGTGTAGATCTCCTGTAAGGAGGACTCTGCTCACCGCTCGCCTAGGTAGTCTCCAATAACCGTCTTGTTGAGGCCCTCGCCTTTGTAGAGGAACTGGGCGATGTCTTCAGGGGTGTGCTGCAGGAGGTCGTTCTCCAACAGAAACTGGATCCCCTGCAGGGAAACGGGTCATGTCAGTCACAGATGGACGACGGTAAATGATCACAAGACAGGATACTTCACAGCAGGGTACCTTTTTGGGATCCATGTTGAATTTCTTTCTCCCCATAGCGATCTGTTTGTTCCTCTGGGAGGTTTTGCTGAAACACAAGCAGAAGCGTGGAGATTTAACAGGTAAAACGTGTTTTAATTCAAATGAAACCACACTTAAACATCAGATTTTCCAACTAAATATGACAATAGCCTGAGTAAGATATTTATGAACTATATATATATATATATATATATATATATATATATGTATATATATATATATGTATGTTGATACTGTATTTTAAACTAACTTGACAAATACAGGCACAGATAAAATCATAAAACTTAACACCACAAAGAGAGATAAAATTAGGCACAAGTGCAAAATAAAGTGAAAATATAAATACATTTCAAAGTTTTTAATTCTTTGGGTTATTATAGAATATATGCACCGATAAAAAAAAAGCCATTTGAAGCCACTTTACATCACATATGTCAGACCTAACAGTTTGACAAAGTTCTGGTGTTTCCAGCCTTTAGGTCAGCTGCTTAACAAAGAAAAAAGATCCACATTGAAAACAAGCGCTCTAATAAAACCTACCTTTCCCCGACGCACGTCAGTTGCTCAATTTCTGTCATGACTTCTGCGATCTCGAACTTTAACCTCTGTGAGAAACAGAGCAAAGCAGACTTGTTTTATTGCATTGTGCTAAAAAACCGAGGCCTGCAGAAAAACGATCTGCAGGCGACAGTTTATCACTTCTTACTGAGCAAACAGACGCACGCTTCTATTTGCATAATTTAAGGCGTGCAAAGAAAGCCACAGGACTGCCGCAGTCAGTCTGCAGTTTAAGTTTAAAATAATGAAACAAAAACTTGAGAAACATTACTAAATACTACACACAGATATAAAGCAATATTTTGACTAAAATAAAACAAAAGTAGCTCTTTAAAGTGTATACAGTGGCATGCAAAGGTTTGGGCACCCTATGGTTCAAATGTCTGTTAGATAAAGCTGAAAAATAAAACCTTTTCCTTTGTGCAACAATGTTCACTCAGGTCATCTGGACAGTTTCGTTTTATGCTGAGACGTTCTGTCCTTCATCCAAAGGACTTCTTCAGTCCAAGAAGCCACAAACAAACTGGAGAACCACAAATACCACACTCCCATAGTAGAAAAGCACAGTTTGTTGGTGATAAGATGGTTTCTGGGGTCCGCCCTCTCCCCCTCAACTCGTCTGAGGCAGTCATGCCAAAATGGTTCAAAACACCAAAGTCCATGCTCATTAATCCAGGTATAAATCCAACAATGTTCAGTCAGGTCATCTGGACGGTTTCATCTTTTTGCTGAGACGTTTCATCAAATCGTCCTTCATCCGATTGGTATTGGATTTGTAACCTGGATTATTGAACATGAACTGTTGGCGTTTTGAACCATTTTGGTACGACTGCCTCTGAGTTAACAGGGGAGAGGGCGGACCCCAGAAACCATCTTATCACCAATAAACTGTGTTTTTCCTCTATGGGAGTGTGGTATTTGTGGGACTCTCAGTTGGTTTGTGGCTTCTCGGACTGAAGAAGTCCTTCGAATGAAAGATGAAACATCGCAGCAAAAACAGAAACCGTCCAGATGACCTAACTGAACACTGCTGGATTTGTAACCTGGATTATTGAGCATGAACTGCTTGTATTTTCCTTTGTTTTCATTAAGATTTGCACTTAATTTGTCCCTATATAATCAGCTGCCTGATCTCTAGAAAAAGACTGATCGACACCCACTAAGCGATGCAATCGAAAGAGATAGGAAAGCATTTTGTAGAAGCTGCATCTTCCACTGGTGATGCACTTATAGAAGACATTTCAGGGCACGCTGAAATCTGGAATAGCAGAAAAACTGAAACAACAGAGTTGCTCACAAATTTATACTAAACTGTTAAACTGGTAAAAGACCATAGAAAAAATGGAGCAACACCTGGTTGAAAAAGAAAAACCTTTTCTACATCCTTAGCTCTGGTTTGGTGCTGTTTGGAAACAGCACAATAAAATACATTTGACCCAAACACTGCACTCATTCTGCAGACAAGTTATTACAGAAGGTCCACCCAGAGACTGGTTTGATGCTTGTATTCTGTGCAGACGGCACACCGTATCTATCGTAATGAGAACACACCTCGATGTCATCAAGCAGCTCTTTCTTCCTCCGTCGGATGCTGGACAGCTCATCCCTCTCCTCCAGAGACAGATCCTCCGGAACTGAAACACAGGACACACGTTTCGTTGGTGCACAGCTCACACTTCGGCTTCAACTCAACAAAACCTGTCCAATAACGGGGTTTCCGAGTAGCAAAGGACCACAGTGAACCGTAAATCCAGTCAAATAAACCCTGGAGTTAAATCAGCTTGAAGATCCGCCTTACAGTGACGAGAGCGCTGCAGCTGTTTCACGTCGTTCAGCTGGAACGTCAGGAGCCTGGAAGTTCATAATTAACTGGAGAACAACGGAAGGCGAAGAGTCTTAATTATTCCACTTGAAAGTGCTCCTCCATGTCCCTCCTTCTCCATTTGGCTCAGAGGGGGTATGCTATTAATAAAACTAATCCAGATTAGGTTTTCTTTCATTAGATGAGAGTTTTGCGGTTCAACGCAGCCTTCAACCTCGATTCATCCAAGCCCCTGAGTGTTTCCCAGCTACAAGTTAATATGAGCTTCATAACTTAAGTTTGGATTTTTCATTCTTCCGTTCCGCTTTTATTTTAAATTTCCCAAGTGCGCACTATACTTATCAGATTTTGACATCTTTTTGAACTACAGAGTCTGGAAAATATTTGGACTGCAAAGAAGCAGAAGTGCCGTTATTTGCTGAAAGTATGTGTGTTGGGGGGATGCAACAAGGAATCTGCACTAATTAAGTAAAACAAGGTCACTGGACTGAACAGCATTCAGCCCAAGTGCTGCACTCAGGAGTGTTGTTAAAGAAGGTATAAAAACAACAGTGTTGTGTAATCCTGATGGAGAGCAGGTCTACAGGAGGGAGAGCTGTGGGATCTCCTTTGCAGACCATGTTTTAACAGACACCAATGAGAGATCTGAGTGAACAGTGTGACAGTATGAAAATAAAGAAGTTAATTAAAACCGAGGAAACAAATCAGCCACTGGCCAAAAGGATGGCTCAACACTGAAGAGCAACATCATCAGGCCAGGACTCTGTGGTCTACACTCATCTCCAGGCCAGCGGTCACTCTTTCAGGAATGAAGATGTTCATATCCTTCATAGAAAGGAACGATTGTTTGAGAGAGGAGTGAAGGTCGCCATCTTTGTGACGAGAACCCATCCATCATTTAACGGGCTGAGGCCTCCTCGTTCAATTGTCACCTTCTTACAATGCTGTTATCACAGCCCTCTGCGCATACCGTATTTTTCACCCTATAAGTCACGTTTTGGTTTTTTTTGCATAATTTACATGCCCTGCGTCTTATAGGATGAAGCGACTTATTTATGGACTTTTCCCATATTTATAAACCAATTTTTGGCTGAGGTATGACCGTTTTCATTCATTCTGACTGAAAAAATTGAACACTACCATTTTCTGCCGCTAGGTGGCACCAGAGTAGTAAGGCATGCTGTTGTATCATGTAATAGGTAAAAGTGTCTATTAATGACAAATTCAAAAAAGTTCAAGACAAAAAAACTGGACTTTATTTATTATACTTTACTTGATACGTTATTGTTTTTGTCTTGAACTTTTTTGAATTTACCATGTCCTGGATGACTGAGAATCTTCACCAGCTATTAATGACACGGTCGGCTTGCCATAACCTGCCACCTTTGTTCTGCTCGCTGCTTGGAGCAACCGTCAAGCCAGCTTCATTTTGCTGCACTGCCCCGGCGAAATGCAGCTAATTTGACCACTGAAGTGCATTTATTAAGTAAAAGTCAACTGAGACGCACATTTGCTATAACTTCAAGCAAACAAATAATTGTTTTAGGTGCTTTTCTTCTTAAATTTCTAATTCTAAGAAATGTGCAGCATTCCTCCTTCCTGATTTCCTCCCTGTCTGTGCGCTCCTGGGAGCAGTGAATACTTTTGAAATACAGCTGATTTGCCCGTTAAAAGTCCTTTTATTAAGCAAACGTTAGACTGAGAAACACCTCTGCTATAACGTCGAGCAAACAAATAATTGTTTTTAAATGTTAATCTTGTTAAATTCTTGTTAAAGTCCTCCCATGCACACCCCAGAGGCCGCCATTTGGCAGCCAATTGATTTTTGGCCCAACACGGGTCCACATTTCCAGGTTGTCAGCGGTGACGCATAATAGATGTTACGTAAACAGTGAAGCAGCATATTTATGGATTTTTCCACTATATTAGACATATTTGGACTGATGCAACTTATAGGGCAGAGCGACGTTTATGGCGGAAAATACGGTAGTACTGGAAGTGGCCATCAGGGAACTAACGATCAATTATTAGGCTGATGGTCCTCCTTTTGCATGCGAACAGCTAGTTCTGGCAGTCACCAGCAAACTGGTTGATCCACTATGAGAAGGTACTATTTATAAGACTGAGTTTGCTTGCAGCTCCTCAGACTGAAGAAGTCTTTTGGATGAAAAACAAAACATTTCAACGAAGACGAATCCGTCCAGAGGACCTGACTCAACCTTGTTAGATTTATCTACTTGGATTATTGAACATGCATCAGGGCGATTCTTGAATGGTTTCACTTGAGAAACGTTTGCTAATGTTTGAGCCCACATTGAAGGAACTTGTGTCAATCGGTCCTGCAGGGTAACTGGAACATGATTTCTCTTAGTGAGAAAAGATGTACAGATGTTCTGGGATGCACAGATTAAAACCTGAGGCAACAGTGCAGGTTTCAAACATTATGTAGCTCTTTGAGAAGATTATTATTATCACAGCCTTGATGTGTTACACATCCAATGCAAAGACGATGGTGCTCATTTTAATGAGACTTTGTCACCATTAATGGCAAAGCATTGCCATTTCCTGCCAGTTGGCTCAACTCCATCTTTAAAACCACACATTTGATTACAAGGAGCCCATACGATTAATCTTTCTATTCAAGTGGATTTTCCTCAGCAAAGGTGGTCCACCAATTAAATTGTTACCACACTTCCTGCCTGAGACTCTCAAGTCAAGACATAAACTGCAGCCATGGAGCTAAAGCTAGATGCTGCCATTCCACTGGCTCGAGTCAGCTAAAATCACTGGTCATAGAAAAGACTAGACCATAGATGTGTTACTGTAGATGGTGGGATAATTGCAGCTGGTAAAAGAAATCCAAAAGGCTCCAGGAGGGCGGGGGGGAGGTGGTTATAATTTCCCCTAAAACCAAATCCTTCCAAATCTACTTTTAACAGTAAATCCCCCACTGCTCTTCACACCCAAAACTAACAACTGTTGCTGACCACCCACTAAACCCAAAGGCTTTAATGGTGGTTCAGCTACTGCAAGAGATACATAACTCCATACGTTCTAAAATGCTTAGTTCGATCACATGTTTAGGTTGAGAAAGAAAAAAAAAATCAAAGTGCAAGGACTTTGGAAAAAAAACAGGATTTGAGATCCTCCCTAAAACCAGCACTGAGTGAAAATCCCACTCTCACTTACCACGGGCTCTAGTCCCGGTCACACTGACTCGTGCCGGAGAGGAGTATTATCCAGATTCAATGGCTTTAAACTAGCGACTTTACCCACCATAATGACTTTAAAAGTGGATGAGCTTAAAAAAAAAAAACATAAGATAAACCTTTTACCCAATTTATCCCACCACGTCACATGCAAAGGAAGCAGGAGAGACTACTTCCTCTGGATCCAGGTCCTAATCTGAATCGTCCTGTCCCCAATCCCTCTTGGACTGGACAAAAACATGCTCTGCATTACAGCCCAGGTCATATAGAAAGACAGACGGACATGTGGCGGCACATGCACACGAGATGCACCAAGGGCAGCTGGCTCTAATCCCATACACTAACCCTCCTCTCTTTAAATCTGTCAAAGTGGGAAATGATGTTTAGAACTGCAGCTAACTGCCGTCTGACTGCTTGAACTCTGGCTCAAACCATCGACAGTGCGATTAGCAGATGTGACTGGTGGAACTATCTGCAGAGACACCAGACAGTAATGCAGGAAGATCAGCAAAGGAAAAAAGAGCCAGACAAACTGAGGAGAGCAAGGTTACAGGAAGAGATAAGGGTCAAACTTATGGAAGTGTACCAGTACACACAGGAAGCATGATAAAGGGAGGTTCAATCCCGATCTTTAAAAATCAGCATAAGGATTACAATTTGTCACGGTTTTGCAGTGGTGGGATGTAACTAAGTGCAAGTACTTTGTTACAGTACTTAATAATAAAAATAATAATAATACTTTATTTATAAAGCCCTTTAAAACAACCACAGCTGCCACAAAGTGCTGTACATATAAAATCAAGAACATTTAAACACATCAAACAGTTGTTAAAACATTAAGGTCAATAAAAAAATAATAAAAATGGTGCAGAACAAAATTCAGTCTGTGCTAAAAGCCAAGGAGTAAAAATGTGTTTTTAAAAGAGTTTTAAAACTGGACAGTACTTAAGTACATTTTCGTGTATCTACTTTACTTAAGTAGTTAAACGTGGGTACTTTCAACTTTTACTCCACTACATTTTACATGAAGTACCTGTACTTTCTACTACATTACATTTCTACAATGCGTTGCGTTACAAGTTACTTTCACATTGCGTTTTTTTGTTTGTTTGTTTGTTTGTTTGAAAGTAACCAATGGTGAGAAGGGAACTGGTCCATTAAATCACTGCAAAGTGGGCAGGTAACATTAGACCCGCCTTCAAGAAGAGCTGGACCAATGAAGTATATTCTAGTATATATGTCATTGAGCTGGGAGCACCAGCAGCACCGCTAACACACCCAATTATTATTAAATTATTCCTTCGTTAGATGTGTCTAATGTTCTTTTTGTTCAGGCAGACAACTTTTACTTAAATGTGTTTACTGCAGTTAAAATTACACATTGGTTTTGCTTTGTGTTAAATAAAAACTTTCAAAGGTATAATCATTCCTCGTTCTTATTTTGCTTAATGACATTTAACTCTGCAGGTCATCCCTGAAATTCTGACGCACAGAATCACAAGTCCAAGTGTGAACTGTGTCACAGAGTAAACACAATAAAAACATGTATTATCTGCAGCATTGTTCAGTAAAATGGCTCAACACTATTAATGTATTACAGAAA